GGGCGTGAAAGGAAAGTGGCCGGGCGGCGGCATCGGCAAGCGCCCAAGTTCCCGGAGCGCTGGGCCCGCTGCGCGCCCCTCCCGGCGCGTCCCGCGCTCCCGCCCGCCGAGCCCCCGCGGACCCGCCCCCCGGGCTCGCTCTGGGGCCGGGGCGCGAACCCGCAGCAGGGGCCGGGGGCGCGCTGGTCCGAACTTCGGAGGGCCGAGGTGGACGCAGCGCGGTGGCGGAGCGTCTAGCGGCTGCCGCAACCGGTTGCTTCGCGTCAGCGTGGTGAAGTACGCCGGGCCTGCCCGGGCTGCGCGCGAGCGGTCAGGGGCTCGCCGGGCCCCGATCTGCCACTCGGGAGTCCGTGACCGTTTCGATTTTTGTTCTAGAAGTTTGGTTTTGGACATTGAAAGGAGCCTGTGGAGAGGCGAACAGAGTGTCCTGAGAAGCAAGGCCTGCTCTGTGGGGAGCAGAAACGCCTTCGGAGAACAGAAATTCCCGCGGAAAGGATGTATGTTAAGTTTTTCACAAGATGTCAACTGTTCGCTGCGGTCTTAAACTAAGCCGTTAAGCACAGGTCACCTACAGGGCTTGTAAGTTGCTGGGAGTTGGGGGTAGGTCACCCCTGTCAGAGACAGGGTTTTTATTTAGTGGAGGTTATTCTCTGCAGGCCACTAAAAGCAGTGCTGGTGACTCACCCTAAGTCATGTTTCGTGAGTCTTGCTTAGCAGTGATATAGTTTGATAACCAAGTAACCATCAAAGAGATTTGAAAGGAAACAAGATGGATTTTGTCAATCCCTGCATTGTCTTCTCTTTAAACTGTGTTTTTAAGGTGTTACACGTACTTGATTGCATCGGAAGTAAAATGCCTGAAAATGTAATTTTCATTTGCCAGCTGTCTTGAGAAGAGGAAGATGAGTGTGTCTTCTTCGTGTGTGCGCTTTGGGGCCTGGTGGCCTGGTGGCCTGGTGTTTTGAGGGATATGTTGAATCATTCTAGGCCACAGGTAGATTCAGAGTTCACATTTGTTTACAATGTCAGAAAAGTAACGGCGTGGTGGAAACGGGAGTGGCCCAAGATCAGGAAACAGTTCTGTTACTGTTGTCATTTACTAACCGTGTTATCATGGGTAGTTTTTACCCTTAATAGGTTTGGTTTTACTTATTTGCAAAATTAGAGGATGAATAGATCATCTTTCTGTGTGCTTTTGATTCTAAAACTTGGCGACTTTTTAAAATGAAATGTTAAAAATATCACAGTATGTTTTGAAAAGGTCTACATAAAGGGCTCACGGTATGCATCTTTATTAAAATACATTTGGGAAAAGCATCTTGATAGCTATAGCTAGGTTCTATTTTATGTCATTTATTACCTGAATAAGACATTTAAAAATGTATTTCAGTGTGTTTTTAAAATTATCTTAATTTTTTTTATTGAGGTCTACTTTGCCATAAGATATTTAAGAGTACGTACAGTTCAACGACTTTTTGCATATGTGTGTGCCATGATAACCACACGCAGATCAAGGTATAGAACATTTTCAGCTTCCCAAAGGGCTCCCTTTACATTCCTCCCATTAAGTAAACCCTTCCTGCTTCCACAAGGCTACCACTGTTCTGACTTCTATCACTACTGATCAGTAGTGCTTCAAAACAGGACCCTTTTGAGAGTGAAAGGGGGCAATATTAATAATTAAGCTGAAGGACAACAGATGTGTAAACCTGGAGTTACCGTCATTGCACCATGACCCTAAATACTTTTATAACAATTCTTACAGTTTTTACTATCTAGAATAACTAAAAATTCTGACCCTGGAGACTTATTAGTCAGAAGGTCACTTTTTAACTGAAGCAGTACTTTGCAGGTTTGAACCTGTTATTCTTGGGAGTCCTTGTGGTCGGTCACAGGCCCAGTATTAATCTATTACTTCCCATTTGGGAATACAGGTATATTTGCAGACATGAACTTTTCCAACAAGTCAGAGTTTAGGTGTCAGTAGATGAATCAGTTCCTTAAAGCCAGGAATTTGCTGAGAAAATTGAATGAAAATTGATTTTTTAAAAGTTCAGTGAATTAAAGAATGTGGGTATAAAGCTTTTAACAGCCTGTTAAATGACAGCAATTAACTTGTATATATGCAGGATATTCACCCGGCTTTTCAAATCATTAAAACTCGAGCAATGAAAGCAAAAACAAAAGGTAACTAAAAATTGTCAGGTGTAATTAAAAAAATTTTTTTTTCAACATGATAAAGTTAACCTTTTTGTATTAGACCTCTAGGAAGTTAGGTTTTTTTTATATTCTCCTCTGAAGCAAGTACTTCAACAATTTGCTTATTCTTTTAATATATTCTTGCACCTTTTCTTGTTTCTGCTGCTAAAGGAGAGGAGTTAGAAGTTGTGTGTTTTTTACTGTGAGGACATCTGTGAAAGTTGGGAACAGCGTAAGGCCTGTGGTAGGGATGTATGGGGCATAGTCCACAAAGTTCAAAGATTTTCTTTTTGTGAAATAGTTCTGTTTTTCTGTGACTCAGTTAGCTAGCCAACTGGCTAACAACTAAACTGGATTTGGTCACTCTCCCCCAAGATTCATAGCATCATTAGCCAAGAGAGTTAATTGATTATTGAATTATTGATCCACCTTTCTTTGTATGTGGCTCTTTTTAGACTTCTTAGCTTTTGCATTATCAGATATTTAATTTAAAACATTAAAATTTTAAGTTTGCAACTAAAGAGATGTACAATGAGAAACAGAAAATACATATAAAAGAGAATTTCCTCTTTTGATATTCGTTTCCTTGTAAAGTCTGATTTTTCTCTTTAAAAATATTTTGCCTATCTATATAACCTTGCTGCTTCTGTAGGGTATTTTTGTTTTCACAGTGTTAACTAGACTTGGCTTAGCTATATAGAATGATGGTGTAGAAGCAGATGTTGTTTGACTCGAAAGTCTGTAGTAAAGGTGAACTGTCTAAATAAACTTCATTGGCTTTTTAATGATGTCACGTTATGTTCACATTAAATAAATGGGTACAATCCAAAACGCAGAAGACAATTATGTAGGTAAGCAATTTGAATGCTAAATGTTTTTATATTAAAATTTTTCTATCTTATAATTTCCTGAAACTTTACTTTCTGGAATTATTTGGCGGTTAGCCAATATTTCAGAATAATTTAAGTGAAAATAAATGAACATGTAATCAGTAAATGGTACGTACCTCTTTGTTATGGCAGGACATTTTTCTTTCAGTAGATAGCATTTGTTATCTGACTGTGATGTTTTATAATTGAAAAAAATATTTTTCCTTATACATAGCTGTTAAATTGGATGAAAGTCTCTGGGGATTTTGGTAACCTGGGAGATTTTGAACCATTAGACTTTGGGGAGTGGGTTTTTGATATGACTCCAGGCTTCTTCAAGTGGTACTAACCCCGTTGGAAAATGATTTAAAGTAGAAAGGATGTGGTCAGGTTGTTGCAAGTTCATTTTTAAACTTTACAAAAGTGGGAGAGAGGATAAGAACAAAGACAAGTTATTAATAGAAAAATTATGACTTCACTGCAGAAGTTTTAACAAGTTTGATTGTAAACCTTTGCCTATAACTCAGAGGCACCTGAAGATTAGTATACAATTATTTTCTAGTTTCCTTTATTCAAGAAGATGTTTTTCAACCTTATTCAGCTCTTTATCTTTAGATGATCACTCAAGGACATAATTAAAAAACAAAAAACCTAGTCTATATATTGTGGTAAATGATATATTGAATCCCTTCTGAACTTTGTGGTTTGGTAGTTGTATAACTTCAGAGCCAAGCACTTGCTGTGCATGAAGAGGCTAAAAGGTGGCATTTCTGACATGGTGTACTGCATGCAGGTTCCTTTGGATATTTTTGCTTAATCTAGACAAAGGTTAATTACTGGACCGATTTGGGGTGGATAGGGTAGTTGAGAGTACCTGCTTGGTACAGGAAAATTGGTTCTGGTTTGAGATGACATTTGAAGAGAGTCTTAGATGAAAGATGGAAGGTGGTTTGTTGTCACTTGCAAGTGCAAGACAGTCACGGATTTGGAATGACTTGAGATGGACTGAGAAATTTAGCAGTTATTAAAATACCTCAAGAGATTTTCCTGCTGGAGTTTAATTGAGAGTTTTAGTCAACAAGTACTTTGATTAGAATTCCGAATTATTATTAACTGGTTTTTACCCTGAATAGTTTTAAGAAAAGTGTTTGAGATGGCTGCTATGTAGTATATGTTGAGTGGTAAGGCCACTTGTGAGTTACCACAGTTTTTCATTTCTTTTCACATTAATTTGGTACCCAGACTAGGATCCTTTCTTGTCTCTGAGTTTTTGCTAGTGTTCTTTCTTATGGATCAGTTCCTATAAAACATGTGTTTTCCATGTTAAAAATAGTATATGGTAATTTGGAATCATAATTATAAGAAACCATTTTGGCTCATTTTTACTCGTGTCATTATAAAATAACCTTGGAGTGATTAGGTGATGATAGCAAGATGCACTTAACATACTGCTTGTCTAGAACATAGTGAATAATGAGGAAGTAAATTTTTATTATTTTTAAAATTAAAAATTTTTTTAGTTGTTAGTTGTGGTAAAATATACATAACATAAAATTTATCATTATAAAGTGGCATTAAGCACATTCACCATATTGTGCATTTATCACCACTATCCATTTTCAGAACCTTTCATCTTCCCAAACTGAAATTCCGTATCTGTTGACAGTAACTCCTCATTCCTCTCTCTTCCCAGCCCCTGACAGCCACCGTTCTACTTTATGACTCTATGGGTTTGACTGACTATGAATTTAACTGCTCTGGCTACCTCATATAAGTAGAATCATACAGTATTTGTCTTCTTGTGAGTGGCTTATTTCACTTAGCATAATGTCCTCACGGTTCATCCATGTTGTATCATGTGTGTCAGAATTTCCTTTTGGGGAAATACATTTTTAAAAAGATTTCCACAGCTGGTAAAATGAGGTCACAGAACACTGTACACTAGAACTCACTCACCTCTCTTGGAAGAGCTCTGTAGGTAGCTAGCTAGCAGAGCTGTGAGGGCCAGCACCTTTCCTTAGGTGCGGTTCTGACACACTTAGTTATTGGAACAAGAGAGATGGAAGCAGAGTATGACAACAGGGTGGAAGACAGGGAAAGTGTAAAAGCAAAGGTCCCTACAGTCTGAGATCTCTGGATAGGAACAGAGAGCCTTGTGGATCTTGAAATACCATCTTACTATGTAATCACTGATGGTCATTCTATCCAGAACAGTTAACCAAAAAAGTTTGTGTGTTCAGAGTTGTAAATAAGTCTTCAGCTATCTGAGAGTTATGATTATTCAGTGATTCATTCCCCATCTGTTCCGGTTAGTAGAGGTTTTGCCATATTTTACATTTCTGTGTTAATGGAAAACTAGTATTTAAAGACGCTCAGTAGCCTACGTAATAAGGATACCATATAACTAGTGCTTTATATTTTAGATTTAT